TTATCTTGCATTCTTTTATTTTTGTTCCCAAGTTACAAGGAAGCTGCTAAAGCCACAGATTCTATCTTTCTGGCAGTTATTTTATGCCAGGATATTGCAAATCTTCCCTTCAACTCCCATCCCTGTGCATCTCACGTCCTCAATTGATTTACGTAGCGTGGCTCTCTCGGAATATGGAATCAGGTGAAGCTCAGTGGGCACCGATCTCTAAATGTTCGTTTTTCTTGTGGATCTGATTAGAATAGTAAGATCCTCTCCAGCATTCTCCAAAGGCATCTGTAATTCAACAGCAACCACAGCGTGCTGCTTCATGGACTGTACTGAAACCTGTCCAGATGAATTTACACCTATTTTTTGTAATGAGTCTTTTCCCTAAATTGTAGCTAGATATCGCCCATTTACAGTAAGTCCATTTAGGTGTAATTTAACAAGCTCAGGAGAGCGATGTTTTTGAGAGCTGTGGAGTTATTCTGCATGTTCTGCATCTTAAAAGTGAGAGCTCCTGAGTGGTCTTTTCTTCCACGATGGAGCTTAATGCCTCTAGGGCACGGTTGTGGTGTCGTGGGTGGCCCTAGTAAAAGTGCTCCTCATTTTGGCCACCTCTGAGGTACAGGCAAGACATTACCAGTCTGATTTGAACTCTTGGGTGAATTATGATTGCAGCACAATACAGGAATTCTGTGCCTGTAAAATATGGGTCCCATTGACACACCTCAAAGTATCAGGCAGCTCCCGACCATTGCTGGGGTGAACACTAGCTAGTGCTAATGTAGGGGAAAAAAAAAAGGATTTTCTCATGAAATATCTTGGCACTCTCAGCTTGACATCTGTATTGCTGCATTTATCAAGAGGGAGCCAAAGCAGAGGAATCTCTGCTCTCTCTGCTAACTTAGATTGTACATTTCTCTGTGAACAGATACATTTTTTGTGCATGGTTTCTCCCTGGGGCCACTGGCTTTGCTGTGATATAAATTACTTTTCCGGCCAAAGGCAATTTTTTTTTACTTGAAATTGGGTGTGTTGACACCATAAAACTGTGAACCCAGACATACAGCTGAGTATGAGGCAACTTTAAAATTAAGCTTTGCTTCACCTTTAATATTTAGAATCCCTGCCTGAAGAAACCAAGCTACAGAAAAAGTAGTTATCTCATACTGACCTTATCAGTACAACAGACTGGGAAGTTGTTGGTACCAGGGCTTTGGTTTTGAAACTTTGAAAACATTTCTAGCTCTCATCAGGTTGAAAGGTCAAAACTACAGAGGTAATTACAACGCTCAGAATAGGAGGCTTGTTCTAACATGGGTTTTTATCAGCAGCAAAAGGAATTCTGAGCCAGGAAACACAATCACGTGCTGAAACGATTTTAATAGTCAAAGCATGAACTGAGAAATGTGAACATGAATTTTTGACAAATCCTACAGAAAATAAGCTCATTAAAAAACTCCAGACCAGTTATTCTGACAAGACATGGATCCTGCCCTGAAGCATTAGGCATTCAGGTCTTCGGGACCTACCTGAGGAGGTGCTTTCTCGAGAGGTGACAAATTGAAATTCTAAGCTTCCTTTTATCATCAAGATGTGCCTAATTAAGCTGGCAGTGAAGGGCCTTGCTCACATCACTTGGAAGTGTTTTTGAATACTCTGACTTTGTTGCACATGCCTTAAAGGTACCTGCTGTTTGCTGCTACCTGCTCAGGTTGTTTGAGGGGCTTCAACAGACCTGGTCCAGCCCAGCTTTCTCCAAGCTGCAGTTTCATGCTCTTTGTACTTGGCAGCACCTGGCCAGGGTCTGGGAGGTTGTATTACTGTTTCCTGAGAGTGGACGATACTCTATTCCAAAAAATTACAATGAATGTGCACTTTCTGCTATGTAGGCATTTGATTTCCACAGAAGTAACTGTGTGCAGGGAAATATTTTGTGTTTTTAAGAAATATTCTGCTAGTGCCTTGAAAGTATTGCTGTCAGCGATGCTCCCCTTATGTAGACCAATGTGAAAATCAGCGCAGGACCCATTAAAGCTTCTTTGCTGTGGATTTGAGGATGTAGAGCCTCTTCTGCATTTTCTCTGCAAAATGGGTCTGTATGTAATGATTGCATTCAATACAGCAGACCGAGCAGTGTGCATTAATTGGATCACAACTCTGTGCATGACTCTGGACTGCTAAATGTAATCCCATGTTTTTATGGAGAGTAAAGCAAGCACATAGAGTGCTTTAAATTTAAAGTGCAGAACACAGCAGATCTGGCTACTCATGGCGAAGGTAATCCTGTAGAAAATTTGACTGAAGAATCGGTTAAAATATTTACACATCCATTTTCACTGCATTGTGGAGTAATCAAAACAAGGCGAGTCACTTCAGATCTGAGTTCATAATTGCAGCAACAGTGGATGCTCATCATTTAATGAGCTGAGGAACAATCAGCTGGTGGGCTATTCTTACCTTCGGCATGAAATAACAAAACCACAAAACTCAGTGGCTATATGTGTGCAGGAAAAAAAATAGTTCAGCTTTGCCTGTTTGAGTGGGAGCCTAAGTTAAAAATGACAGCCATACATAGATCAGAAACTCTGGGTGTTCCTAGACAATTCATTTGAATCACAAAACTCAGTCTGTTTCAAAAAACACTGTTTCATCTCCTGCCAGGGTTACACACAGGTTCATGGCCTCATGGCTTGGTGCTGCTCCTGCCCGAGAGCTGCTCCTGCATTTTCAAACAGTGGCTGGAGCAAGGTGCTGCTGTGCTTCCCCTGCTCTGAGGCACTGCTGCTGCCTTCCTCGCCCAGAGCAGCAGCTCCCACGTCCTTGGCTCATGCATAGCCTCTGGATTTTTGTCTCCTTGCTTTGCTGCTGGGTTTATACGCCACAGTTCGCCTCAGTGAATGAGGCACTGCCTCCCTTGCAAGTGTTTTGTTTTAAAGTACTGGAGTGGAACAAAGCTAAACAGCTCTGACTGCATGGAGCAGAACACAGTTCTCTGGTTTTTGCACTTGGGAATTCCAAGATTTGGCTCAGTTTATAACAGTGGCAGCAAGGACTAGCTCAGCAGCCTGTTTCACTTGGGGGGAGCAGTTCGACAGGAGGATGCTGCAAGGTGCTGAGAGCAGGTACCGCAGTACAGGCTTTTCTTTGCAGGACGTGATATTTTGGACCCATCCCTTATGTTGCCATGCTTCTATTTTGCTCACTGGCAGCTCATTTTACTGCAGCCTGGGCTGCTCCCTGGCCCAGCAACTTCGTGTGTTTTCCCAGGGTGAAGGAATCCTCTCCCTGAGCCCAGCTACACCTCTTGCCTTGGACCCTGCTCCTGGGGACATCAGTGCCAGCTGCAGGCACGTCCTGGCAGAGCAATGTGTCCTAGCAGAGGGCCTGTGCCCCCTCTATGTGCTTTGGGCGAGGTGGTGATTATCTGGGTGTCATCGCGGAGGACTGCAGGTTGTGGATCCCTCCCAAATGGAGCGGTTGCTTCTGCTGTCAAGAGTCCCAGTGAATGGCATTCAGTCCAGCTGACTACTGGCACCACCAAACACAAACACAAACCAGTTTTCTTTCACATTTTTATTGGTGATTTGGATGAGGGGGTGGAGGACACCCTTAGTAAGCTGGCAGATGACACCAAGCGACAGTCGCCTGGGGAGATGGTTGGAAAGGAAGCTGGGCAGAAAGGTGCCCTGGGGGTGCCCGTGCACAGCCGGCTGCCCACAGGCCAGCAGCGTGCCCAAGTGGCCAAGAAGGCCAGCGTGACCCCAGCTGGCCTCAGGACCAGCATGGCCAGCAGGGCAGGGAAGGGTTTGTGCCCTCATGCACAGCACCGGTGAGCCCGCACCTTGAGCACCGTGTTCAGATTTGGGCCCCTCAGCGCCAGAAGGGCACTGAGCTGCTCGAGCCTGGGCAGAGGAGAGTGGCGCAGCCACAAAGGGGCTGGCAGAGAGGAGCTGGGGGGAGCTACTGGGGGAACTGGGGCGGCTCGGTCTGGAGAGGAGGCTGAAGGCAGGCCTCCGCGCCCAATGCAGCTGCCCTAAAGGAGGCTGCAGGTGCGTGCCGGTGTCTTTTCTCAGGTGGCAGGTGATGGGAATAGAGGCCATGGCATCAAGCTGTGCCGGGGTGGGTTACACTGGATATCAGGAAGGATTTCTTCATGGACAGCATGGGCAAGCACTGGAAGGGGCTGCGCAGGGAGGTGGTGAGGTTCCCATCCCTGGAGGTATTTACAAGACATGGTGTGGTGCTGGGACGTGGTAGCTCAGGCTGGTGGTTGACTTGACAACCCTGAGGGCCCTTTCCAACCTAGGTGGTTCCATGACAGTATGACCAGTGTGAAGCCCTACAAGTGGAAAGGTTTTAAGTCCATGCCGGTTCCCCACCGTCCCAGCAGTTCCAGGCTGGGACAAGACACTGAGGCGGTGACACTTGTCCTTGCGGCATCCCACAGAATCGCTCCATGGCAGGAGAAGAGGAGCAGCTCACAGCCACGATCCCCGTTCCAGTGGGTGCTGCCAACAAACCTTTGACTTCCAGACCATCGCGTATTTTTGAACGTTTTTTAAACACTTTGCTGTTCTATTTTTCCCCAGGGGGCAGTTACTCTTGGTGCAAAGTGCAGCCGCCCATGCCCACCTCCTCGCCCTGCTTTTAGGGGCCCGGCTGAACCCCGCATCCCCCCGCAGCACACCCCATGCCGGCTCTGCACCCCCACATCCCCATTCCTGGCAGGAGCCCCAAGCCCGGGGGGGCTCCCTCGGGGCAGCACCTCCCAGCCCCACTGCTGTGACCTGGGGGGGGGGGGGCGAAGAGGCTACTTTTATTATTTTATCCTTTATTTCATTATTTTACGTGCTGTTTGCGAGGCGGGAAGGGGAGAGGGGGAGCACATGAAGGACGAAAGCGGGGCCGGGGGGGCCGGGGCCGGGGGGGCCGGGGGGGCCGGGGCCGGGGGGGCCGGGGCCGGGCGGGCGGCGGCGGCCGGCAGGGGGCGCGGTGGCCCCGGCGGAGCGGAGCGGAGCGGGGGGGAGCGGCGGGAGCCCCCCCGGCCCCGCCCGGCGGAGCGGAGCGGGCAGGGCAGGGCCGGGCAGGGCCGCGCCGTGCTGCGGCATGGAGGGGACGCGGACCCCCCCCCGCTACGGATCGCTCGAGTCCACCCGCTGGCCGCAGCCAGGTGAGCTCCAAACTTTCCCCCGGGTGGCTCCGGTGCTGCCCCCCCGCCACCCCTCCGGTTCTCTCCCCCCCTCCATCCTCCCCCCGGACTCGGGTACCGGAGCCCCGCGGGGCGCCCCGAAGCGGTACCGGCCCCAAGGGGAGCCGGGCACGGGCTGGGGGAGCCCCCGGGGAGCCCCCGGGAATGGGGCAGGGACGGGGGGACGGGGGGACGGGGTGCATGGGGAGGGAGGGAAGGGGCGGCTGGGGGAGAAGGGGTGGAGAGCAGGGGATGGAGGGAGGGAGGATGGAGGGGAGAGAGGATGGAGGGACCGAGAGCTGGCTGGAGGGGAGGAAGGATGGAGGGAGGAATGAGCCCCCCCCCCCCAGCTGATGCTGCCCAGAGAGGTGCAGAGCCGCCCTGGTCGGCAGGCTGGGTGCCCACGCTGCCCTTTGCTGCCTTTTCCCATTCTGACCAGTTCCTCCAGAATGAAGCGGGGTGGGCCTGGGGGAGGTCTGACCAGGGGGATCACCCAAATCATAGGACCTGGCCTTGGGGTGGGAGGTGATATCCCCCACACCTGGGCTGTGGGCACCCTGGGGAAAGGAGGCTCGTGCAGCCAGGGCGTCCTTCCAGCTGTAGTCCTACCCTCTGGATAGCACAACCTCTGCCCTTCCCCTGTCCCTTTCTGCTCCCCGTTAGCCCCTTGCACCCAGCAGGACGGGGACAAGCAGCCAGAAAGTCATGGGGGGAGGCACGGAGCAAACTCCAGCACCTTGCTTGATGCTGCTGTGGGGTTGTTGCCCGTGAAGCTGCTCGGCTCCACAGGGAGCTACCTGAAGTGTCCATCAGTTCTCCTTTGTGCCTTCCAGAGCAGTAATATTTATCCCCACCATCTCCCCTGCCTGAGGAGAGTGTCTGGGCGAGGGCGTGCAGGGGATCTGAGCTTGTCCTGCAGGACTGGGGTGCTCAGGCCGTGCACTGCAGGTTCTTGAGGTTCGTGTCCCTCTGCTGGGCACCCCAGGGGACAAGCACTGTGCCACCTCTGTAAACGCTGCCCCAGAGCCGGGCAGCATGTTGTGGTTGCTCTTGCTATCAGACTTGTGGAGCAAGGGCTGGTGGTGGTGAGCTGAATGCCTCCTGCCCCCGCTGCTTTCTATGGCAGGGAAAAACCCACAGCTGAGTTAAAGGCCTCTTGGGATGTGGCCCAGGTAAAGGGCCCTGACCCCCCTCCTTGGGGCACTGTCGATCAGTCGCCCAACTTTAATCATCGCTCACAACTCAACCCTGAACTGGCTGCTGCTGTGACTCATCCCAGACTTGCTGCTGGCTGTCTAAATGTTTTCACCAAAGCCATACGGAGTGAAAGTCTCCAGCTATTATACTCCTCATTAACGACACTCTCTTCCCCTGGGCCATGCGTGATGATCAGAGCATCCCCAAGTTGAGATCAAAGCTTTCTCCCCTTACTGGGTTTCCCAGCTGGAAATGCTGCCTGTCGGGGCGCTTTGCTCGGGCAGCGTGGGGCAGATTTCTGTGTGTGGGGCAGATTTCTGTGCGTGGGGCAGATTTCCATGCCTGGTGCCACTGCCGCCTGTGCAGCTGTGGGAGCAAAGGGGCCCTGGGCAGCGTGGCTGCACATGTGGTCATCCCACTGCCTCCCTGAAGGGACACTCAGACTGTAAGCTTGGACACAGGTTTAATGAACGCCTCTGCTATAGCCCCTAATTGGTGCCAGGCACTTAGAAATGGGTGTTAGAAACCCATTCTCAGCTTGGCAAAACCACCTCTGGGGTATCTTTGGCCCAGCTGCCTGCAGGATGTGCTGGGTTTTACTCCCTTGTGAGCTCGGAGTGTCCACGCTTCCATCTGTGATGGCTTTATGGAGTCGCTGCCATCACACAGGCTGCGCAGGGAGCTGTGGTGTGGCCTGTGCCTGTAGCTGGGGGGCTCAGGGGCGTGGGATCCCCTGCGTCTGCCTGGAGAAAGCATCTCCTGCACTAGCAGAGAAGATCCATGTAAATCCTACTTATTTGTCACAGACTTACCTCATCACATGGAATTACAGAGGAATTTGGATCAGGAGGGAGCTCTGGAGATCTCGAGCCCAACTCCCAGCTCAAAGCAGGTTTAGTTAGATCAGGTCACTCACAGCCTTGTCCAGAAGGAATCTTGGACCAAGGATGAGATCCCTTGACCTCTCCAGTCCCAGTTCTTGTTTCCTGAAGGGAAAATGTTTTCCTGCAATCTAACTGGAACCTCCAGTGTTCCAGCTTGTGTTCATCATCTCTTGCCTGATCTTTGCACACCTCCAAAAGGAGTCTGACTCCCTCTTCTCTGCTTCCTCCCATTAGGTAGCTGAGGACAGCCATGAGATCCCCCTTCACCTTTTCTCCTTCGGGTTGAGCAAACCTGCTTCTGTCAGCCTCTCCTTGCCCATCTTGTGCTCCTGTCCCTGCCCTTGCTCAGATGTTCAGCTCTTGGCAAGACCGCCTGTGGTCCTGGGCAGATGCTGGTGGATGGAAGGGGTCTCCACCAGCAAGTTAATCCTATCAGCATCCTGTAGGGTAGGGCATCCTATCAGTAGCCCTTGGGTTGCTGTCTGTATGGATTCACTGGTTTATCATGAGGCTTGATGGATGTTTTTCGTGCAGAGGATTAGCTCTGTTTTCCATTGCCCAGGTGTTCCTGCACCCCACAGTGTCTCTGGTCCTGCTTCCCAAGCCCTTGTGTTTTCTTGGTGCCAATCAACGTGAAGGATTGGCTGATGTTGGGCAGGGTCTCACCCTTACCAAAAACCCCAGCAGCAGCAGCGTGGGGTTTCTGATCCCAAGGACTTTCTCCATTCTTCACTGAAAACAGAAAGGGTAAGGAGGAGATGCCTGTGACAGATTTTAAGGAAGCAGAGGGAAGCGCTGGGGGCTCAGTGGAGGCCCGAACGGCAGAGGCAGAAGGGTGCTCCTGCCAGGGGGCTGTGTCCATTTTGCAGGAGCTCTCACCTGGGGCTGCCCTTGCTCCTGAATTAAGCAGCTTCAGGCACACGACTCCCTGCTTAGAGCTCTTCTCCAGGACTTACTGCTCCGGTGAGATCTTCCCTGCCGTGCTGAGGACACGTCTTGCCTTAGGGACACTGAGTGCCCTGTCCCAACCACACCACCAAGGGGAGCTTCCAGCTCAAATCCTGCAACCATCGCTCTGCTGCATGGCGTAGACCTGTCCCTTGTCCCCACCCCATGGGTCACTCCTGACCTGCAGCCTCCGCTGTCCTGCAGAAAGGTGGCTGTGGGGTGCATGAGGGCAGCTCCTCCTGCGCAGTGTGTCCCCAGCCACGCTGAATTCCCTGTTGCTGATGCAAACCCACCCCGAGCCGAGCCAGCAGCTCTCTCACCCCTGTGGGCAGCTGCCTGTGGGCTGACATTGCCCAGCACTGCCTCCTCCTCCCTTCGTGTGCACAGGCGAGGATTCGCTCCCGCAGCTGGGATGGCTGCGGCTAATGAGGTTCTGGGATGAGAAGGGAGAAGGAGCGATGCTGACACCTGTTTCAAGCCATTGTGCTCACTGTTGTGGGTGGGAAGCAGCTGGCTGATGACCTGAGCCAGGTACTTCTGCCACCAGTGATCAGAGCTGTGCTGGGTGAGTCCCCCACCCACCCAGGCCAGCAGTGACAGGAGCTCCCCCGGGCCCACCCCTGTGCTCCAAGCAGGGCTCAGATCTGTCCTCGGCTAATGAGAGCTGCAGTCAGCTTGTGTCTTTGTTTACTGGAGCATCTGTAAAACAATCAGCCTCGTCATTTCAGCCTGGTCACTGAAGGGACACTTGGAGCAATGCAGCTTTTTCCTGACGGGTCTAGAGCCGCACTGAAGTGTAGGCAGCACCCCAGGGAGCGGCTCCTTCAAGTGCACGGTGGCCGTTCGGTCTGCACCCCGGGGTGTGTTACCTGCTGGTCCGCTGCCTTCTGCAGGGAGGTGTGGGCAGGGCACGTATATAAGGAGGTGTGAGCAGGGCACATATACAGAGAGGTGTGAGCAGGGCACACCTGCAGGGAGGTGTGAGCACTGCCCCCAGCCCCCTGCCCATGGCCGGGTGCAGCAGCGAGGCGCTGCGGGGGGGCAGTGCAGCAGGATGCTCGGGATGGGAGCTCAGCATCCCGGTCCCCTAGCAACCGAGGTCCTGTCCCCTAGCAACAGCAGCCCGGTCCTGCAGCAACCGCATCCCTGGTCCCGTAGCAACCCCAGTCCGGTCCCCTAGCAACCCCTTCAGGCCGATGGAAAGCAGGCTGGGGGTTTGAGGGGGGTTCTGGGCTTGTTTGCAGCACAGGCAAGAGCTGATGGGAGGACAGCACATCCAGCCCCATGTTGTGTCCAGCCCACATTTCCCTTGGTCTGTCCTGAGCGGGTGCTGGCTCCTAGGAGCATCTTGAGAGTTCAGGATGGGGAACGACCGAGGATTCGGCATGCTGGTGTTGGCTGAAAGTGTCCTGGATGGCTGCTGGGGAGGGAGGCATTCTCCGAGTAATCCTCATTAGTTTCTAAGCCAGAAAGAGAGGAGAACTATTCCCCAGACCAGTCATGGTAACCTAAACTACTCATATTGCTGCTCTTAAACCTTCTCCACCAGCAGCCTTGGAAACATGCCTCACTCTGGGAACAATTTCTCCAGCAGTTTTAAGTGACGAGCAGAGGACCAGCAAGTGCGGGGTGCTTTGCCTTGTGCCTTTGTACTGATCTCTTCCTGCCCTGCATGGGCAAAGTCCCAGGGCTGCAGAAAGGCAAAGTGTCATAGCAGAGATGTGTGCACTGTGGAGATCCAAAGGAAGCACAATTTTCCCCTGATGTGTGTGATTGTTAATGTTGTCTCATAGCCTGGCTTTGCTGTAGCTGCTGAGCCCCCCCCCCCCCCCCCCGACCTGTGCTGCACGTACATCACAGGAGAGCCAGATTAGCCTGCGTGTGATGAATGCAGTGCTGCACGTCACTGATAACAAGCTCACTGACATGATGCTGAGAGACAGACCGGCAGGGAGCAGGGAGCTGGCCTCCTCTATCCCATAAAACAGGCTGGGGGTTGCTGCAGGCTGTGCAGGCTTGTAGGCACTGTGTGAATCAGTGGGACAGTCAGTGGGACATGGGTGGAGGCAGAGCTGGTGGTCAGAAGCAGGATGATGCCTGATGGACTCTCATCCTGCTCATTCCCCTGGCTTGCCACCACGCTCTTCTGAAATACAAGAGCCTCTTTTTTCCCATATTTTGCTGTGATGTTTTTGGCTCTTGTCCTGAGTCAATGACATACCCTTTTCCTGACTGTTTCCCCAAGTGGGTTTCCCAAAGTACTCTTTCCATGAATGTGTCAGGGCTCTTTCCTCTTGCAGCAGCAACCTGGAAAAGAACTTAAAACTGCACACGCTTACTGGTGATGCTGTCTGGTGTTTGCAGAGGGTCTGGGAAACACCATCGTCCTCAGCACCTTAAATGTCAGCTGCTGGCTGATGTGGCTCCATTTTCCTTTACAGAGGATGAAATTGTTTCCATGGCCGACTCCACTACCACCATCGATGACATCGAAGGGGAACTCTTCAAAATCGAGAGGATCAGGGAGATCCTGGTGAGGAGGGAGTCGGAGCTGCGATACATGTGAGTGCTGGGAGCCAGCCTATTTCTATGCAAACAGAGTCGATGGCATGGGTTTAACCAAGCTAAAACATGCCCGTATTCCACCACGAGCACCCCATCTTCTCAGCAGGTTCATGCTCAGCTCTTGGGCTGGGATTGGGAATGGCCCTGAGGTTTGGTGGCTCATTGCTGCTCTCTGGAGACACTGCTTTGCCCCAACACGCAGATCTCTGGCTGTTGAACAGCCATGTGGCTGCAGTTTTCTGTCCCCATGCTGCAATGTTACGCATCCTCCCAGCTCTGATGTGTCTGGACCAGCCTCAGTCCCTCGTTCCCAGCACAGCCTTTGCAGCTAGATGTGGGGGGAAGGGTTTTCTCCAGGGCTCAGGGCTGTAGTCAAAACAGTTTTGGAGTAAAATTCTGAATGCCTTTCATATTTAAGGCAATCAATAGTCACTGTGCTGCAGTGACTGAGGGTGATGAAGAACATTTTCTCAGGATATATTTCGGGATCTGCTGTGGTGTGGGAGGAGAAGGACTGACTTACCCATGCTCCAGGTTACAATGGCACAATGGTCTCCACTGAGCTCTTCCCCTTTGGAGTATCAGCACGGAGAATTTGGGTGCACAGAGTGACAAGATCAAAGTGGCACAAAAAGAATCACAGGATCTTAGAATATCCTGAGTTGGAAGAGACCCACAAGGATCATTGAGTCCAACTTCTGGCCCCACACAGGTCTACCCAAAAATTCAGACTGCATGGCTGAGAGTGCAGTCCAAACACTTCTTGAACTCTGACAGGCTTGGTGCTGTGACTACGTCCCTGGGGAGCCTGTTCCAGTGTGTGACCACCCTCTCAGTGAAGAACCTCTTCCTGATGTCCAGCCTAAAGCTCCCCTGCCTCAGCTTGACACCATTCCCACAGGTCCTGTGACTTGTGATTAAGGAGAATAGATCGGTGCCTGCCCCTCCACTCCTCCTCGCGAGGAAGTTGTAGGCCGCGATGAGGCCTCCCCTCAGCCTCCTCTTCTCCAGGCTGAACAGGCCCAGTGCCCTCAGCCGCTCCTCATACATCTTCCCCTCTAGGCCCTTCACCATCTTCGTAGCCCTCCTCTGGACACTCTCCAACAGTTCAATGTCCTTTTTGTACTGTGGTGCCCAGAACTGCACTCAGTGCTCGAGGTGAGGTCCACACCAGAGTAGAGTGGGACAATCACCTCCCTCGACCGCCTAGCGATGCCGTGCTTGATGCACCCCAGGACACGGTTGGCCCTCCTGGCTGCCAGGGCACACTGCTGGCTCATATTCAACTTGCTGCCAACCACAACCCCCAGATCCCTCTCTGCGGGGCTGCTCGCTAGCATCTCATCGCCCAGTCTGTACGTGCAGCCAGGGTTGCCCCATCCCTGCTGCAGGACCCGGCACTTGCCTTTGTTAAACTTCATGGACCCCACTGGTGCCAGGCTGCCCATTTACCACAACCCTTTGAGCCCTGCCTGTCAGCCAGCTGTTCACCCATCGTATGATGTTTTTATCTGGCTATATGCTGGACATTTTGTCCAGTAGGATCTTATGAGAAACTGGGTCAAGAGCTTTACTGAAAAGGCAGAAATAAAGCCAGTTTGATGCAGAGGGATGGCCACAAGAGAAAAGCTCATGAAGCAAAGCTGTGGCAAAGCTGCACAGCCCCTCTGGGGCCACTGGGGTCTGCAGTCCTGACTCTGGCTTAGTGGGCAGAGGCGACTGGGAGGCAGCTGAGAAAAAAAGCAAAGATCCAAGGGGCTGGAAGGCTCACTGCAACATGAGATAAACAGGTGGGGGCTCCCAGCACAGCTCTGCATATCATGCACATGGTTTCCAGCTTGCGAAGACCTGCATGCCATCAGTGAGAGGCAAAGCAGGGTGCTTGGCCAAGACGCCTCTGAGCCAGAAACAAAAGGAGGGACATACCCTGGGTCAGCTCAGGGCTGCAGAAAGCCGGGTCAGACCCATGGAAATGGGGCTCCCAGCTCCCTGCACTGCCCTAGGGCAACCCTCAAAGTCCTGGTGTGGGCAAAGAGGGAACATGCCATGCACGTGGAAGTGAGATGTTATTTGTCGGCCTCATTAAAATCTCAATGACCCAAATCAAAATTCAACAAGCAGTTATAATTTGAATTGCAATGATACTAGCATTCATGGTCTGAATTGATTATGCTTTTTAATATCACTACCTTGCTACAGTCAGCCCAGTCCTGAGCTCCCGTGCGGTCAGGTCAGCCGCAAACCTGTGATTTTTTAATGGTAATTGAAAAAAAAAAAAAAGGTATTTACCTGGACTACAGCACTTGACATGCTGCTATTTTAACATGTTTGGGTCTCTACTGGTGCCTGCACCACAGGGATGACAGGAGCCTGGCAGTGCCCATGTAAACCCGCTGCCTGCAGTAGCTGTGAGCTGGACTGTGGTCTCATGGCTCAGATTTGGAGTGATGACCTCTGTGAGGGATCAGCACAGTTCGTCCCAAATCTTTGCTGAAACGGATTTTTGGAAGTCATAAAAAGTGAAGTACTTAAATGCTTTCCATGGCAACCAGTACCTAAATCTCATGGGTGCTGTCAAAACTCACAGCTCTTGGTTTTCTGTATCCCATTATTTGTTTTCTATGTCCTGGGGTGGGTACGGCTGCAAAATTCATCACTGGGAAGTTTTTGGAGGCACCAGAATTGCATGTCTGAGCAGCTGGGAGTCACTGCCAGGGACAAGGGAACTCCCAGACCTGGCTTCTGCATGATGGATTTAGACAGGATGGGGCTGTGGGGCTGCAGCGGGGCTTATTTTACCAATGGGGGAAAAAATAGGATCAGTCGGACTGTAGGGCTCAGGGAAATGGACATCTCCGTTGATGTGCCATCAAGTGGAGATGTGACTTGTCTGGTCAGTCCATAGGGACTGGTGTTTTCTTCTTGCTGGAGATGTCAACCTCAAATATTCCAACATTTCTGAGATGTCTGTGCTGTGGAAAACAATGTTACTCCTGGCATTTCTCCCTTTACAGGGCAAAAGAAAGGTCTGAATTTCCTACGAGAGGTGCAGCTTCCCTCCTTACCTGCTCTGTGCAGGAGTGACCTGCTCTGATCCCAGGGCCAGGCAGGGCAGCACAGGCCGTGGCTGATGCTGCAACGTTATCTCAGGTGGCAGAAATAATCCCAGCTCCAGCAGCAGCCTCCTGGGTGCTTGCCTTTGCAATCTCTCCCAGGTTTTATTGAAATGACAATTTTTATTACCACCCAGTTCATTACTTTTATTATAAGTTTTGAAATGATTTAATTCAATTTTAATTTTGATATTTCAGTTATCATTTGACTCTTCATTTTAATTTTAATAAGTCTATCACCGTTGATCAGCCAGCTGCCCATGTGTCCTGTGCAGCCCTCCTGCTCGTGCTCTTTGCAGAAGCTCAGGGCTCAGCCACCAAGGCACGAGGAGCAGGTGATACAAGGACAGACAGAGCTCCCTCTTCTCCCCACGCAGCTGCCAGCTGTTGGCATTGGTGGACCTGCTCAGTGCAGTCTGCAAACAAGTGAAGACACTGTCAGATGGAGCAAGGGAATAACAGAGCCAAGAGGAAAGACTTCCTCCGCCTGGGATGTTCTCCTCCTACAGCGATATCACACGGGGTCCCTCTTCATCAGTCTGTTCGTTTTCCTTTCTCTAATTAATATTTCTGGTGTCCTCGGCACAGCTGACAAATCTGCAGCTTCGAGTAGCTCCAGCGTGACTCATCCCAGATGGGTGGACGGCGTGACTCAGTGGAAGGGCCGGCAGGATTACCGAAGGTGCAGGCAGGGCTTTTAATAAGAAAGGCACATCTGTTCAAGGTGGCACCAGCTCGTGAGTCGACTGTGTATTATCTGTAGACACAGATCGTGTTTTAGGGTTTCTCATCACTCACAGATGTGGAGCTTGCTAAAAATCTCAGCTGAGTTCTTCCAGGTTGGATGCTTTGCCATGCACCCTGCACAGCATCCATGGAGTGAGTTCTCCTGCCTTCAGGTCTTGGATGACCTTGGGAAGCTCATGTCAAGATGCTGGAGTGCTTGGTAGGGTTCAGGAGGACGTACAGAGTCTCTGTCAAGGTTAAAAAAAAAAGGGGGGGTTTCTGATTCCTTGATTTCAAATGAGCCAGTGGCCCAAATCCCCTGAGTAGGGATCTCTGTTTCCTGGGTGCCTCAGTGCCATTGGAGAGTGCCCAAAACCCTTCAAACTGAGGCGTTAAAGTTCACTGTGACCAGACATCATCATTCCTCGGTCTTGTCCAAGTGGGGCTTTAGTGAGGGCACTAGCATGTGATACTTTTGTGATAAATCAGTGAGTAAATTGGGTTAAGCCTTCTCCACTAGCTGCACTCACACCGGTGCACCTTTGGGGGTGGCTGAGCATCTATGGTGCTTCCTCCTCCTCCCCGGGCATCACCAAACTGCCCCAGCACGGTGTGTGCCACCCTGCCGCTGACACCTGAGCTAAGCTCGGTGCCTCCTTGGGCTTGTCCTTCTTGGTGTCTTGCTGCTGGCGTGATACGGTTTCATTGCCCACAGCTTCAGCAGGCACCTTTTCTCCTGTTGAAATGACCTTGCTCCTCAGCAGGCACCTGCAAAGTTTGCACACTTTTCCCCTGTGTTGTATTTCATTTTTCTGACTCTTTTTTTCATTTCTGCAGAAAGCTGGTATTAAAAGTGTCAGACTTTTCTTGGTGGTGGCAGTTTCTCTTTGCTTTTAGATTTTGCTATTTAAGGAATTTTTTATTTATTTATTTTTTCTTTCGAGAAGAAACACAGCTGCTATTGCGTGTGCCAGGTTTTAATAAGGTATCATTGTCATTAGAATGACAAAACTTTTGCTTTGCCAACAGCCGGTGACACAACCCATTTAGCTGCAAAAGCTGCTCTGAGATGAAGTGGCTGCCGATTCCCATGGGAAGGCAGGCAGATCTGTGCTCCCCACCGTGGGCACTGAGGGCATGTGCTGGGTTTTGCTCTGGACATTTTACACCTTTCCTCTCCCAGTGTTTCCCTCAGTGGTTTCATTTGTGTCTCTGCAGGATGGATGACATTCAGCTTTGCAAAGAAATCAGCCGGCTGAAAAAGGAGCTTCAAAAACTGATAGCCCTTCCAGGTAAGGCTTTGTAGAACTTCAAAGAGCTGCACCCTGCCTCTGCGCTCAACAGAAAGACTGCCATGAAATTCAAGCAGCTCTTCACCATGTCCCCCCTTGGGATGCTCCCAGAGATGCTGCAGCTGCAGGCAGTGCATGAGCAGCAGGAACGTGGCTCCTTGGGTCTGACCCGAGGTCTTTCTCGGGACAGGGAGACCTCGTAGCAGGCCTAAGCTGACAGCAGAGGAAACAGAAGGGGAAGAAATATGAGTCCTCTGAGGAGCAGCGTGGGTCTGGTAGAGGGGGAAGACAGGGAATGGTTGAGTTAGGTTCCAGTGAATGGTGGGACCTGCTGCGTCCACTGAGAACATGGCTTGGGTGAGTTAAGGGGAGAAGCAGGGGACATTGTGAGACCACACCTTGGAGGCAGTGGGATGAGAGAGGCCTTCAGAGGCCTCAAGAGCATGGAAAGCAATGAATTGGTGCTGTGACCATGTCAGAGATGTCTGTCAGCAGCAGGGCAGAGGGCAGCATCTGCCAGGACAGGGCTCCTGGTTGCAGCCAGGGTAAGGTGGGTGCTGGGTGTCCCTGTCACAACCAGACCTGCCCTTCTGTGGCCAAATCTCAGCTCTCTAAAGGATCCCCTTCAGCCAAAATACTTTAATGAAAGCACACACCAAACAACTCCGGGTTCGAATGAGAAAGAACAAGAAGGGCTTCCTCACACGCTTGCCATCACTGCTCATCAAGCTGTGCCTCCTCCTAGGACATCCCCATTCAGCCCCAGGAAGGACTCTGGCTGTGTTTTCAGGACCAGGTGGGAGTCAGGTCCCTGCTTACTCGTACTCATGTGAGCCTTAAGATCCGGACCTCGGTTACTTCCACCACAGGTACCTCGCTGAAGATGCTGTGCTGAGACCACGGAGTGGGTAGCAGGGGGCGATGCCTGGGCGCAGCTGTGCACATCTGCTCTCCAGAGCAGCTCAGCTCAGCAGGTCTGCGCCCGAGGTTATCCCCAAGCCAAGGGTGGCAGAGACCTTTTCTGCTGCTGTAGTGTCGCTGTGCTGTGTGTGCTTGTGAAACACCAGCACACAGACTGAGGCAGGTTAGAGCCCAACTGCTGCTTAATATGCAGGTCTTGGTCAGATTAATATAACCTGGCCGCATCAGAGGGAGGTTCAGGCTTGGGTGGGGGAAGATTCTGCCATGAAGACAGGAGCTGCATGAGAAATGTAGACCCACATCTCATAGGGATTTTTAATTCAAACAGCTTCTAGTTTGTAAATTAAGGCTTGACTTAAATGGTGGCTTAGGAACAGAATTAAACTTGTTTTCTGAAGATTGAGGAATGTGGCTGGCTTTTCTTCATCTGCTTTGGTCTTTAATTTCAAGTCTTTTCAGTGTTCCCAGATTCAGCTGAAGTAGGAATGCTGCTTACATGAGGGATGCTTTTTTTGCCTTCTTTATAACTTGGCTCAAATCAGGCCGTGCTGGAAAAATCCTGCAAATTGCCTGCTTTGTGAGACTGTAGCAGCAGATCATTCATAAAAATGGGTGTTGAGGTTTGGTTCAGAGAAGGATTCAAAGACGTCAGTGCTTACTCAGAGCTCATCCAGACCTGTGGCATGAAATCTCACCAGACCAAAGTGCCTTTAATAATTCAGAGAGATACCTGTGGTCATGATGGACTCTGACATCAGCAGGTTGGAAAAAAAGGTGCAGTGTTTGTACAGTGGGTTACCTCTGATGTGCTCTAACTCAGGAATGGAGACTGCTAACTAACTCCAACTAAGCCATTATGTTTGTGGCCAGCCTGATGATTCTGATTTTCACGGCAGCCTAATGACACTTGTGCTTCAGTTCCCAGCAGACAGGTGGGAGCTGCTGCAGGAGGCATGTGGCAATGGCCCTGTGACTTTCCATTAACTCCTCATGGAGGAAGACCCGTGTCTGTGTCCCAGATCAGCTTTTTCTGCCGGGGAGCTCGAGCTCACTCCCTGCACAAAACCACAATGGGAGGAGAAGCCATTGTTTTCTGGGGGTGTTCCTAACAGCATGATGATAATGAATTCCTTCTACTCAGACCCCCACAGCAGCACCTCCCAGCAATTCATAGCAGACTTTAAACTACAAATCAATACACAGTTTACGTAACTGCTGAGACCCTGCTGACAGGCTTCGCTCCATACTGAGAATTTTGCTGCATTTTTATTTAGCTGAAGGAAAACTGGAGATTGATCCATCGTGTGCTGGATTGATTTTGGAGCTGGCTGCTGAATTCAGAAATGGTGTTAAATAGCTGCAGCGCAGACAGTCACAATTTCCTCCCAAGGTAGCTCTCCATTTAGATCTAACACTCCTCTATCTTATAGAGTGGTTTGGGTTGGAAGGAACCTTTAAAGGCCATCTAGCCCAGTCCCCAAGGATCTCCACGTATCCTGCTTACCAGTATGTACCAATTTATATGGAACATGACATCACAGTGATGTGAGAGTTTCCTGGGTCTTCACTAATTCACTGCCCAAAGATACGTGGCACAAGTGCTTGAGTTAGGTCAGTGTGGGGGTGCAGGTGACAATCAGGGCTAGTACATTCAAATTAGCCTGGCAGACACTTGCAGTCATCCTTGTTATTGGGGGTGGATGGAGCCCATGTAGGCTGACAATGTTTTGAAAGGTCAGATGCACTGGGTAAGATCACAGGGACAGTGCTCAGCAGGGAATAAGGCTATGAAAAGCAGTGGATCGTGTTTGTTCTCATGTCTTTCTCTATACAGGATAGTGGTGCAACATGTTCCCAGAGCACATGGGCATTGCTGATAATTCCCCCCTTCTGTTTTTGAGTCACTTGGATCCCTGGCTGGTTTCTCAAGGACCTGGCTGAGTGGCAGCCAGGTGGGGTCTCTGGAGACTAAGACCATGGTTGGGTGTTCTGGCATGGGAATGTGTGGGTTAGGCACATCCTGGCAGAAGGATGATACCTGAATCTGACATTTCTGAGCACCTTGGGACCAGGTGCCCACCCTCTTCAGCAGTGACCCCTAGAGAGCCATGGTGTCCCACCAGTGAGGCCACTTTGCTTAGCAACCCTTTCTCTGCTTTGTGAAGCTCCCAGTTGCATCTAGCAATGCTCATCCCCATGGAGTTTTGGTGAGAAACTCAAAATTCAAAGTTTGATCACACCAGACCCAGGTGGTTTGAGATGAGGTTGTCGCTTATTTAGCAGCCTGTATCTGGGTCCAGGCACTTTGGGTTGGATTTTTCCCCTGCTGTCATATCTGCTTCCAAGTGGGGCAGAGCAAGCTTGGCCTTGGCACGGGAGTGTTGACCCCTGCTGTTGTGTGAAATATGCTCCTTGTGCTGCAGAGACCGAGAAGTCCAACGAGGAGAAGCAGAAGGAGGAGGAGCTGGTGCAGCAGATACACAAGCTGGTGGAAACTCGGGATTTTCTGGTGGATGATGTGGAGTTTGAGAGGCTCAGGTAGCTGGGTACAATTTATTCCTTGCAATGAGGACAGTGCAATCTGTCCTTAGATTGGCGTTATGCTTTGCCAGATGCCTCGCTGCTCCTTTCCCAGGTACTAACCAATCTCTTTATCACAGGGAGAGAGAAGAAGACAAGGAAATGGCAGAATTCCTGCAAAATAAGCTCTCCAAAAGCTACCTCCAGAAAGCAAGTAGGTGGCTGATGAGTTGTATTCCTCCCATTGAACCTCCCTGCCAGTTTCTCCCTTCATTAAGCACTTTGTTCACAAGAGTTCATTGCTCTTTGTGGGGCGAGCTTACCTGGAGGCCGTCTGTTGGTGGAGGAGGGTGTGGGGAAATGGCAAGTTTGGGGTGCTGGTGCTTGAGATCATATTGTGGAAGCATCACAAATCAGTAGATGCTGTGCTTCCATTTACCCTCCTGGCACTTCTCAGCCAGCATGGCCTATGAGGACTAGGACAAGTGGGTGTCCTTTCATGGTTCATGTACTTCATCTGACCTTTTCTAACCATCCCCTTCCATTTCATCACAGTTAGCTGAGGTCACAAGTCATGGTATCCATCCAGCCGTCCTCTCTTCATGGCCTTTGGTGGCAGGCCACCCTTCCCTGTGCCTCCATCACTGCTGGAGGAACACCTCCCCAGCGTGGTGGGCATCTCCTGACCTGGGTCCCTGTGCCTCTGCGTGAGGAGGGGCAGCACCACAGCCCTGAGAGGAGCTCTCAGAAGAAGCAATGGGCCTGTGCTCTTGTCAGCGAGCAGACACCAACCCTAAAGGTAACAATACCTCTCTCCATAGCTCCTGTCAAAGAGAAGAAAATGACTTCCAGAGGGCAGCAAACCTCCGCCCCATATATGACCAAGACAGGCCTCACGCTGCTCAAGGAGTGCTGTGGCTTCACCTGCTCCATCATGTAGCCAGTCCCCAGCTCCTCTGCACAGGACATGACCGTGGTAGTGTTCACCTCCTGGGCTGGGTGACAGGGGTTCCCTGGGGCTGCCTGTACGGGGTGGGTGAGCGCTGATATATGGGACACAGAGCTCCTGGCACAGCAGGAATGGGGTGCGAGGGACCACCAGGCTGCAGCCCATGGGGCTGGAAGGGAGGCAGCAGTGGTGATGGCTGGAAGGAGGCCGAGGAGATGGAGGGAAGCATGAAGGGAATAATGTGGTTGCAACCCATGGTTTCCTATTTCTTTCCTTTTCTCCCCAGGTCTCCAGCCAGAGTCCACTACCTGCTGTCCTCCGAGAGTTTCAACCTCCTGTCATTATTCATGCTTCCCACTGCAGCACCGCCACTGAAGAGACTTTCCAAGTAGGCTGGTGCAAGCTTGAATGATGGCATGTCTCCTTGGTGCCACGTCAATGGTCGTCTCCTCCATGACATCAACTGAATCCCACCTGAGCTCAGCTTGGCAGAGGTGTGTGCAGCAGTGAGCCCACGACAAAGAGGTTCTGCACCTGCCGGTGTAATAAAACAAGCACTTGGAGCTAACGTTTGGAGAACATCGTGCTCTACCATCCAAGAGAAGCTGTTGCCACAGATCTCATCCTTGGCCTTGTACCTTGTACCAGCTTGTGAGTCTCTGTGGGATGGTTCCTAAGGACTCTTTGTGGGGAATGTCTCTGGTCTGGGTTTTGTTGCGTTTGCCTTGATGTTATTGCCAAGTCCCCTATGGCTCTGGGTAGATCTGTGGGAAGTGAGAAGGGCATTGCCCGGGGCTGGCTGAATGAAGGGCTAATTCTTGTGATGCTTTCACCTGAGCACAGATGTAGTGTGTTGAACTACAGGCAGATGATCTGCTTTCCCCACCTCGCTATTACTGGGTTCAGTTTCAGCTCCAAGGAAAAAGAGGAAATCAGAGAAAAAGAGGAAAGGAGACAAAATCAGAAGAACAGAGCAACATGCAAAGGAAGATGAATCCAAATGGGAGACTAGAAATGTGGCAGGGAAGGTTGAGAGAGCAGGTGAGAGACATCCTTAATGCCAAGAGGGCACTCAGCCCTGCCCTCCAGTGCCCATCCAGTGCCCCCAGGCTTAGCACCATGAGCTGGACCTAAGTCCTATGTGAAAGGCTCACAGCACCCCGAGGTCACCCAGTATTTCAGTCCTGCTGTCCCCTCTGAGCATCCCCATGTGGAGATGGCACAGCCAGAGCTGCTACACCCACTGCAGCAGGACAGGGGCTCTCCTTCTCGCAGGGTGTGGAGGCCTCTCACATCTTGAGCCCTGCCTGCCCTGTAGGGTGGTGTTGTGTCACTGGGTGGCCTGGGGTGGCCTCCCCTTTGGGTGGCTGCCCAGGAGCTTGTGCTGCCCTCTGGCCAAAGTGCTGAGGCCTTCAGCTCAGCCCTGCTGCAGCTTGCCAGTGGGCCTGGAGTTGGTGGGTGCCTCTGCCTGGCCCAGGGCCCGGCGTGCCCATGTCAGAGAGGTTGCAGCCCACCTGTCTCTCCTCATTGCACCTGAAAGCACATTCATCCCTATAAAACCACGCAGGTGGGACCCTTCCTGGTGCAATGTCACAAGCAGGTCCAAGTTCCTCCTGCATTTCTCTATCAGCACTGCCAGAAATCCCAGTTCTCTAACCTTTGAAAGGGGGTTTCCACTCACTTGTCCTTCCTGAGCAATCTTCTCTCCATGTGGTTCTTACCAGCAGCAATGAAAGTCCACGAGCTCTTAAGCAATCCCTCTGCACACTCACAGGCCGGGGTGCAGGGCCCCAGTGGGCTATCACTGGACCTGGCCACCTCTAGCAAACTTGACCCCGCTTTGGTTCAGGTCTCCTCTGAGCTGACCTCAATGGTCTCAGTCTGAAGCCTGCTTACATTTTGTGCTGCTTATTGTTAACGACCTACTGCATCCTACAACCACCCCTTGCCGGTTCCTGGTGTTCCCCTTGCTTTGGGGAAGCTCCTGCAGGCTGGAGGGAGCGCCCCGTGGAGCTTCCCTCCGCTGTGCCAGCCGGGTGTAACAACACGAGGTGCCTCCGCACCGCAATACACGGCCGGGGCTGTTGCTCAAGCAGCAGTGACAGGCCAGCAGCAGTAGCATCCAGCCTAGGAGCTGGTGGGACATATCGGGCCTCTCTGCTCTTCCAGACACTGTCCTGTGGCTGCTGTGCCTGGCGGTGCTGCAGCCAGGCGTGGAGCGATGTGGGTGCTCACTGAGACCCACGCAGACCCGTGGCTCAGGGCCTACAAGACCCCTCTCACTGTGCTCAGCCTTCCCCAGGCCTTGGGAAGGGTGAATTCCTGAGCCAGGATGTTTTGTTGGGCCAAGAGGGAGCCAAAGGCCGGGAAGAGCCCTTGATCCACTGCTTGGTCCCCAAATTCATCACTACCTCCACCCCTCCAGGCCCCAGGAGCCAGACTTCAGCTGGTGTGCAGTGCTTGGGCAGGCAGGGAGGATGGCCAGGAAGGAGACGGGGAGGATCCCGACCTGTTTTGCTCTGTGTTTGCCGGCTGTGTTTGTGTGGCTGGTTGTGGAACAGAAGGCAGGCTGCTGTCCTGGCCATATGATCCTATTTGGCCTGTGTTTTACCTGATGGCAAAGGTGCGCAGCACACGGGAGCGACACTCGTTCATGTGCATTGACTTCAACTAATAAATGTCTGTTGGAAGCTTGGTTTGTAAATATCTTCTCCTGTTTGGGGCCTTGGCAGAGATACCTCAGGCAGTGCTGCAGCAGGGCAGTTGGAGTGGAACAGAAAGAAGGTCCTTAAAAATCAGGCTGGGTTTTGGAGCTCCCTGGTATTTTACGAGGACAGAGCAGCCCGTGCCACAGCAGTAAGATACCTGACACTTCCCTTTCTGGCTGCTGACCTAACATTCACTTTTGGGTCAGGCTGAAAAGACCTTGGAAAGGCAGGAGATTTCCTTTCTGGGTGAATATCCTCACATCTCTGTGAGCACTCAGAACTCTGCACTGGGTTAATATCCTTTAGCACTCAGAGCTCTGCATGGGCTTGGTGTATTTATTCATTTATTCACTGACACAGGTCTTCTGTCCTCGCAAGCCTCAGTGGTACCATTTGTGGGTGGCTTGTGGCACATCAGGTGTCTTCTACACGTGATGCTTGGGTCAACGGATCTCTGAAGGGATCTGGCTGCACCAGCTCTCCTCCTGGCCCCCAGCTTGATCCCTCCTGCCTCCCCCCCAGGGTGCTCTCTGGAAGAGGAGAGGGCCTGCAAACTGTAGGTTCTCATGGATTTTGGTGTTGCCTGTCCTCAGTGAGTCAAGAACAGGAGAAGCAGCTTGTGGTGGCCGTGCTGGGGAGGTGGGAGAGGGGCTGGGTGGGAGCAGAGAGCAGGACAGCCTCTGTGCATCGCTGCAGATGCGTAGCACCAGGGAAGCTCAGGGTCACCCACGGACACGATGTGTGCTTTGGTGCCAGCGACTGCTGAGAGGGGGCCAGGCAGCTCCCGCACCCACACCCTCTCTTGGACCAGGCAGCTGAAAACTGTATGTGCAGAAACAATGCTCTAATTTGTGTTTAATGACTTTCATGTCTGCCACCTGGCACCCGCTGGTTCTTGGCATGCCAAGTCCTGGGTGAGTGCTAATTAGGGGGTTAACAAGCCAGGAACATCCTCTGAAGTTGCGGCTGAGGACAGCAGTCAGTGCTAGCACAGGGCCGTGTCCCTGTCCTCCTTGCAGAGTGCCTAAGGGGAGGCAGCAGCCTGCAGGTGAGAGCACCAGGAGGTGACAGTGCCCCTCTGTAGGGCCGTGTCGGAGCACATCGCGTCCTTCAGGCTCACGGTGGCAGCAGGCGTTTCTGCTGCTCGGGGGCACAAGCCCCTCCAGGGGAGATCCCACTATCAGCGGTGGGACGGGAGCAGTGGGGACCAGCATCTCCAGCTCCTGCCCACGCTGATGGAATAGCAGGCTGCTCCAGGGGAAATGTTGACAGAGTCCAGATTAAACCAGTAACAACATTGCAATGTGCTGAGGATTTTCCATCAACAAGAGGCAAAACAGACTGTGAATTTAGCCAATACTTTAATCATCTCTTCTCTGTGCCAGGAGAAATCTTACAAAAACAAAACAAAACAAACAAAAAAAAAACCCTACCTAAATCCAAAAAAATACAACGCAAACAAACCCAAACCCTGCAATTCCCCAAGAAAAGGCAGGGTATTAATACAAAAAAACCCTGTTTATTATACACAGCATCACAGAACTTAAACCCTGATACCTGATTAGGTAATTTTAGTCTCTGCTTCCATTTCCCACGGCATCGTGAGTCACGTTGCTTTTGCTTCACCCCCCACAAGAACGCAGATGGGGCTGGTAGGAGTGCATCTCTGTGATGTTCAGCACGCTGTGCTTGGGGAGCAGCTCCTGCCACCTCCTTCGCTGGTGCTGAGGTGCCCAAGCCAGCAGGATGGCTCCAGCGGAAGGAGAAGGGGAGCACAGGGGATGGTGCAGGGAACCCTGCCAGCTCTGATGGTCCCCTCTGTGGAGCCGGACCTAGGATTTAGGACTAGTGCAGCTCCAGTCTGGCATCTTCTGAAATCTCACAAATACTGAGAGCAGAGCTTGTCTTTTTGCTAGGCTGGGAATGCCTGGGCTGGCTTTGCCTTGGTGTAGCTGAAAGGATTCCTCCCCTTCCAGATCCTCAGGGAAAGAGCAGAGGAAGGATGAGTTTCCCAGGCTGGAGCAGCCAGTGCCCGTCCCCCACACCCGTGTGTTCCCTGATTCCCCCTTCCAGGCAAGTTCATCCAAGGATCCCTTCATTCCAGCCGTGGCAGCATCAGCGCACACCTGAGGTACCACCTTGTGCCCCTAGCCCCAGGGGCACCATCTCTTGCCAGGGCTTATTGAAGAGGTGTCTTTGGGGGCTCCTGGTCATGAGAGGAGAGGTGAGGATCTCAGGTTATTTGGATCTCTGGCAGTCATCCAGGGCTCAATCTCCTGGCCACAGCCCCTCCAGCAGACCCATCTGTACAGAGACTGAGTCATTTGGGGCTGGAAAGTAAAAAGGTGCTGTTGTGGGGGTCACACATCTCTGAGTGATGCTGGCTAGGAAGACCACCAGGCATGGCTCAAGCAGGCATCAAATCTCCTCTGGAGTGCTCAGGGAAGCACCTGAGCCTCCTGTCATGCCTCAGCCTTGTCCCACCACTCTGCTCATGACAAAAACCTCCAGCAGGTCTCTGGGGGTAACTCCTTTCCCCTGCTGTGCCCACAGGTGGGGATCCCTGGGCAGGTTCCTCTCTCCTCTAGCTTTACAGGAGCTTTCTCAGCCGTTCAGAAGATCACAGGCTGTGTCCGAGGAGCAACACCATCTCTCTGGCTCTACAGAGGAAGGAGAAGAGAGGAATAGGGATCTGGTCAGATCGGTGGCTCTTGTTCTCTTTCTTTCCTTGTGCTGAAGGTTCCTCCAAAGAGCTCAGCTCAGGCATGCAGATACAGGACAAGTCACTGAACAGCCCAGCACTCAGTGTCCAAAGAACTTCAGGAGAGCAGATCCATCCACCTTTGCTCTCCAGATGCCCAGCCTGGAACCAGCCATACCTGCAGGCCACCACGTGCAGAGTGGCAGGCTCAGAGCTGCAGCCCCCCATTTTCCTGGACACAACCACTCCTCTTCCATTAGCTCCCAACTAATGGCACCAGTGAGATGCATTAAAGTGGGCTAGGTGGTGGCTGTGGGTGGAAGGAGAGGGGACAGCTGGGTCACCTCTCAGGGTGGGTATAAATGCTTCTGGTCCCTTTGGCTGTATCACTGCCAAGAGGAGATGCAAGGACACAAGCACACAACTTCATCTCTGCTGGGATGAGTCATGAGCTGACTTTTCCAGTGCAGGCAGCAGCTTTTTACATTGTCACCAGTGCCTTTACGAGACATTTGCCAACCTCTGGGCCCCTTGAGGGTATCAGCGAGATGCACTCTCCTGCTTGCTTTTATCTCTCCCTTTGGCTGCTGGGTGCTTGGCCTCGCAGAAGAGCAAGAAAGGCCAGGACACGAGGCAGTGCAAGATGAGGAGATGCTGCTGACTGGGCTGAAGGCTCTCAGATTCAGCCCTGGCAAGGAGAGCTGCTATCCAGGGAAGTTTCCTGCAGAGCAGATTGCCATGGTCTCCACAAGACTCCAGCCCGAGGTGAGCTCTGGATCTCCTCATGCAAACAAAAAGGAAGATGTTTGCTTCTCATTGAGAAATCGATTTTCACTGGCCTCAAGTGCTCTGCATGGCTGGCTTCCCAAGGCAAGCCCTGCAGTCCCAGCCAGGGGAAGGTTTCTGCTTGCTGGAGAGGCCTGGGCATGGCAGCAGGCAGGGGCTGCCCTGTTAAGGGTTTGCAGGACTTGCAGGTTCCTTGCACTGCAGACCCGCAGCCCCAGTTACCAAAGCAAAGGCCTCCCACTGTGCTTACCCCACCTCTGCTCAATCCCTCCCCGAGCACCCCTCAGGACACTGCAGTCCCTAAGTCGTGCTCCACTCTGCTGAGGTGACAAGTAACTGCCCCTTGGTACACATACACCAAGCAGAAGAGAGCCCAGGCCATGGTGCTGGTTTCAGCACCATGACTTTGGTAGGACGTTGATCTGTGCTCCTGCCACAGGAAGGACTCTGCAGACCAGCACAGTGGGGTTGTGTTAACGGCAGTGCTCTCAGTGCACCCATGGGCTCTGCAGCCTCCTTCCCCATCCCAGGGTTCTGGCTGCCTGTGCTCAAGGCCAGCCCTGGTGTGGGACAGCCATGTAACCTGGGATCAGACTGCTGGAAAAACAGATGAGGTGTGAGGTGATGTGTGGAGCCTTCACTGGAGATTCCTCCACCTTGCCTGGGAGCTGCATTTACATTTAGGCCCCTGCCCTTGGTCTTCGGCTTGCCTGTGCCTGTCTGATTCTCATCTCGACTTGCCAGCTTGGCTTTCTGGCTTGATCTTGGACCTGCCTCATCTCAACAGCAAAGCCTGTTAATTGTTGGCCTTCAGCTGTGAACCTCTCCTGCTTTTACTCACCTTCCATGGGGCACCATCCTGTTGGTGAGATACTCTCCTGCCTGCCTTGCTGTCACCTTCACTGCTTCCCTTGAGGAGCAGCCCACTCTCCTGCTCTTGCTCCTCCCTGACAGTTATTATCCCCATTTTACAGAATGAACATAATAAAATCATTAAAGTGTGGGCACATCGTGGCTGCATAAAGTTGTAACATCTTTTACTTTTCCTTGCCAGCTGAAATGCAAACTGCCACTCACCTCCCACCGCTCCGGTGATCCGCTCAGAAGAACACCGGGCACGTCTTGGCCCACACTGCATTTACACGTCAAGGCTTCAGAAATAAATGAGCTCTCTTTTCACATATAGCAGCGGAGAAGCAATTACTACCCTTGCCTCTGCAATGGAGGCTTTCACTGTTGTGTTTTCTCCTGCATGCTGCACAAGGGCATCTTCTGCAGCTGGATGGTAGCTCTCTAAGCTCCGCTTGGCCCAACATGGGGCTGAGCTCAAGAGGTTTGAGGGAAATTGGGTTCCTGTATTGATCCTGTTAGTGCACCCAGTGAGCAGCCAAATGCTTCCTGCAATGCCTTTGGTTGGTTTGTCCTTCACCTGTAACTATTCTCCATGCTTTTCCTAACGAAAGTGTGGGGATGAGTTCTGGCACATAGTGCATGGCTGTGCAGAGAAAT